TATCCCATAAATAGGGACGAGAGAGTATAACTTAAACTTTTAATAACTCGTCTTTCTTCTTTCTAATCTAAAGAGCGGGGCCGCAAAAGTCACTGCTTCCTAGCCAAGACATAGCAAAGTGAAAATGAGCCTAGCCAATTTTGAGTTTAGCAGAGTCTTGAGGACGCTTCAAGTCCTTGCAAGGGCATATAACTTTAGTTGTACCTCTTGCAATAGACAGTTATACACTATACATCCATTAATGGAAAATTCTTTGAAGAATGTGCTTATATTGCATATGCATTACACAATAAAAGCATGTTGCACTTATTGGATTATATATCGCAGCGAAAGCAATTGCAGTATCATGTTCACGTGTGAATTAAACAATTAGTACATACGGAGATTATTCGAGTTACCTCTTGAAACGTGAACAAAGCAAATCAATATCCGTCTCCAGTTCCGGAGTTGCAAGACCTCAGCAAAATTTCACAGTCTTCTACCGTGTTACCCAAATAATATCCGGGAAGAGAGAATTTTGGGTGGGCGAAATTCAAGGAAGAAAAACGTGTATTTTTCCAGTGCAAAAGACGGCCAGCCATATCCCATGTATATATAGCTACATTTTTTAGGTTAAAACCTTTTTCCAAAACCTGTTAGGTTTTCTTCTTCCACTAAGAAAATGTTTCCTTTATTTCCTAATATTTAGGCATAGTAGGGACCACAGAATTTAATTAACAAGGCTTCCTATTATGGAATTAATTTCCAAATTTGAAATTAATTTCTTCCATAATAAATTATGAATTATTCCACTAAAAATTCGCAATTGCACTCATTAGTTCAATTTCGAAATTCTTCCATAAAACCTTATTTAACTCCCCATGTTAAGATTCAGATACTAACCAATCAAATTAAATTACTGACAATTTAATTTATTGATTACTTCCTTTATACTTTCGCTTAACTTATTTCATGTGTTGGATACAAAATCCACCGGCCGGGTTTACACATGAAATCCTATAAGCTTTCATAAAGGAGTATCATCAATCTCAAAAACCGAGACATGGATTCTATCAACTAATTATTACTTCGCCAATGTATATCATTATTGTTCAATTTACGAGGTTTATTGACCCACGAAAGAATCTCTCCTTTTAATAAATCAAAATAATAAATGATATACACAACTAATAATAATTATATCAAGATTAAGAGTATAAGTACATTGAATGGACTAGAGAAATTATTTTATTAAGTATAAAATACCTATCTCTACTTGATCCGTTCAATACATACAAAATGTACTAGCACAAAAAGTTGGAATTAAACCATTCCCATAATCAAGATAAATTATATTTAATCTTGTGCTACAACCATTCCGATTGTTTGTCCAATTCCATCATTTGATTGTGAACATAAACTTTATGACTTATAAGAACCGATGATTTAATCATCCGTGTATAAGCTAAACTCTATACACTAAATCATCTAGTATATAAGCAACAGACACACAAATAAATACACGATCTATTTAAAATAAAACTTTATTGAATTGAACAAATAAATAAATAATTGTTCCATAAAGAATACTATAACAATACACATGGCTTATAGTATATCCTAACAATCTCCCACTTAGACTCATAACCATGCGTCTATAATTCTGACACCCATTCCGTCTACATGCCTATCAAAAGTCTTCTGTGGCAAGCTCTTAGTAAACGGGTCCGCCAAGTTGTTCTCCGACGCAATCTTGGTGACTACTACATCTCCTCTTTGCACTATCTCACAAATTAAATGATATTTTACTGCTCAGTGTGCTTAGCTCTTTTATGGCTTCGTGGCTCTTTTGAATTTGCAACCGCACCACTATTATCACAATAAAGTGTTATTGGTGCTTGAATCGAGGGAACCACATTCAACTCTCTTAGGAAGTTCCCGAGCCAAACCGCCTCTTTGGCTGCCTCAGAGGCAGCCACATATTCGGCTTCCATGGTGGAATCAGCAACACAAGTTTGCTTGATGCTCCTCCAACTTATGGCTCCACCTCCCAGAGTAAACACATTTCCTGAAGTAGACTTTCTAGAATCTCTATCTGATTGGAAATCCAAATTAGTGTACCCAATAGGCACAAGTTCATCTGAATGGTAGACTAGCATGTAATCCCTAGTCCTTTTCAGGTACTTGATTATATGCTTAACTGCTGTCCAATGCTCTCTCCCAGGATTAGACTGAAATCTGCTAACAACGCCAACATCAAAGTAGATATCACGTCTAGTACATAACATAGCATACATCAGACTCTCCACAGCAGATGCATAGGGGACCGCCTTCATCTTTTCTATCTCTTCATCAGTCTTAGTAGACTGATCTTTAGATAGAGAAATTCCATGCGTGAAAGGGAGAAATCCTTTCCTGGAATCATGCATGCTAAACCTGGAGCGTATTGTATCAATATAAAGAGCCTGGGATAAGCCTAATATCCTTTTCTTGCGATCTCGCAAGATCATGATCCCAAGGATATGAGCCGCTTCTCCCAAATCTTTCATATCGAAGTGCATGGACAACCACTGTTTACTGAATCCAACATGCCCACATTATTTCCTATGAGCAATATGTCATCTACATACAAGATTAAAAATGCCACTTTGTCCCCATCCCATTTTTGTATACACAAGACTCGTTAAGACACTGATCGAAACCAAAGTTTTAATCTCCTTGTCAAAACAATTGTTCCATGCCCTAGATGCCTGTTTTAATCCATAAATAGACCTTTTAAGCATACACAACATGTGTTCCTTGCCACTTTCCACGAAACCGTCTGGTTGCATCATATAGATGAACTCATCAAGACTTCCATTAAGGAAAGCTGTCTTGACATCCATTTGCCAAATCTCATAATCATAATGAGCAGTAATGGATAAGAGAATACTTATAGACTTAAGCATGGCTACCGGCGAGAAAGTTTCCTCATAATCGATCCCTTCTTTCTGAGTAAACCCTTTCGCTACAAGCCTCGCTTTAAAAGTTTGCACTTTTCCGCCTACACCTCTCTTTTTCTTATAGATCCACTTGCATCCAATGGGTTTAACCCCATCAGCTGGTTCTACAAGATCCCAGACTTGATTAGAGTACATAGACTCCATCTCTGATTTCATAGCAGCAACCCACTTATCGGCATCTTTATCATGTAGTGCTTGGTCGTAATTGACAGGTTCGGAAGTAGGCTCCTCAGGGATCCTATCATATGATTCTACCAAGAGCGTACAACGAACTGGCTGTCTTATTTCTCTCCCACTACGACTACGCACTACTCAGCTGTAACTACACTATTTTGATTATGTGGTTGAACCACATCATCATCAGGAACCTGAGTCTCCATGCTATCCACAGGGATATCAACGACTTCTTCCTGTTGTGCAGTCTGCTCGACATAACTCCCACTACTTTGTGGTAGTATGACTTCGGGCACTTGTTCTTGCGGGACATCAAGTCTATTGAGATTTCTCCCACTACTAAAATGCAATGGTATGTCAAAATCAACTTCCGGGGTTTGCATCTGGTCGTTTTGTTTTTCAGATGACTGAGTTTCCATTCCTTTGCTTAGTTCCTGTAAAACGAGTTTACTTCTAGGAACATGGTTCATCAAATAGTCCTCTTCAAGAAACTTGGTATTTGTGCTGACAATTACCTTCTTTTCTTTAGGACAATAGAATAAACCACCTTTCGTCCCTTTTGGATAACCTACAAACACCCATACATCCGTTCTTGCCTCTAATTTATCCGTTTTCCCTTTCAGCACATGTGCCGGACAACCCCAAACTCGAATATGCTGCAGACTAAGCTTGCGCCCAGTACACAATTCTATAGGGGTCAACGGTACGGACTTTGAAGGAACTAAATTCAGAACGTAATTAGCTGTTTCTAAGACATGTCCCCAAAAGGATGTAAGGCAAATTGGAATAACTCATCATTGATCTAACCATTTCCATAAGAGTCCTATTTCTTCTTTCAGCTACACCATTTTGTTGTGGAGTTCCAAGTGCAGATAATCGAGATATAATTCCACATTCTGACAAATAACTAATGAATTCTGCAGAGAGCTACTCCCCACCACGATCNTGTCGCTTTTTAAGCTCAGTTTTAAATTCTTTGAACTTTTCAAAACATTCAGACTTTCGACGCAACAAATAAATATATCCATATTTTGAGTAATCATCTGTGAAAGTCACAAAATACTCAAAACCACCTCTTTTTTGGACATTCATTGGACCACACAAATCAGAATGAATCAACTCTAATTTATCACTTGCTTGATTTTCTTTTAAGGGGAAATTTCTTTTTGTCATTTTTCCTTCTAAACATGATTCACAAGTTGGTAGTACCTCTAATTTCAATGAACTTAAAGGTCCATCCTTGACCAACCTTGAAATTCTGTTTAGATTTTTATGACCCAAACGCAAGTGCCATAAATGTGTTTCACTCAATTCAGAAGAACGTTTTCTCTTATTTGGTAAATCAACATAATTCAGTTCTTTAGGTTGTAACGGTTTAGGAATAGAGTCAACAACAAAAAGATCATTAATCAATGTAGCTGAAGAGAGATAACGTTTATCATGAGTAATAACACATTTATCAATGTCATGAAAGTTAATGTCATAACTATCGCTCATAGCGCTAGAAACCGAAATTAAATTCCTTCTAACGGAAGGTACATATAATGTGTCCTTTAAAGCTAAAACTCTACCACTACCAAACGAAATACTAATATTTCCTAATGCTAAAGCTGGGGCTACCGAATCATCTGCTTGATAAACATTGATTTCTCCTTTACTTAGCCGCCACGTTACTTGAAACCCCTGCAAATAAGTGCAGACATGATTAGTGGCTCCCGAATCCACACACCATGACATGGTAGAAACAACCGCTAAAAGAGTTTCAGCGACAAGTAGATGTAAATCACCTTGTTTATTTTTCAGCTTGGCCAGATAAGTTGGACACTACTTCTTATGATGCCCAGACTACTTGCAGTGATAACACTTGCCCTTAGCCTTTTTCACACCAGTAGTTGTGCCACCCACAGAGGGTTTTTGAGCCTTTTTCTTCTTCTGCCCGCCTCTCTGCTTAGAAGAAGCACATGCCTCAAAATTCAATTCCACAGGAGGAGTTTGTGACTTGATAATAGTCTCTGCCGACTGCAGCTCATTCAGCAATTTCGCAAGTGACAAATCCATTTTGTTCATATTATAATTCAGCGAAATTGCTGAAAACTGTTAGGCGGATGTCGCGCCCTCTTTTTCCTTCGCGGAAGTCCGGGTTTCGACTTTCATGGGAGAACAACTCGTTTCTTTTTGGGAATTGAGTATTTGAAGAGTCGCCACCTAACGGATTAAGGTGCGTTAAGGCACCTAGAGCGGTTAACTCAATTAACCAGTTTGCATTACCAGAGATTAGGGTAAGGGCTCGAAATAACCTTGAGGGGAAGGTGTTAGGCACCCCTCGCGGTCCACAACGGTGGGTTCCGACCGAACTTAAACTATGTGAATTAGTCATTTAACAAGTAAGCGGTCTTAGCACATATTTGCAAATAAGGGAAGTTTATATGGTTCAAGCGCACACATGTAAGTAAAAGAAGCTTATAAAGTTTAAACACATATATGTAAATAAAAGAAGCTTAGGCAGTCTAAGTACACATATATGAATTGGGGGAAGGGAAGTCCTAAGTTGGTTAGCCTATAGGATCATATCCATGCAATGCCCGGTAATCACACCTCAGTGAGAGGGGCTACACGTTGCATTAGCGAACAGGTCATCATATCCTTTTACTACCCATTACCCTTCCCTTGGTGGTTATATAAGCGAATTTGATTAACGACCTCTAAGCGTGCTGTTACCCGTCCCTTCCTTGTGGTCCCGCAGGAGTTTAGGATCTCTAGACTTAGGCAGCTCTAGACAATCCTAAGGTGTTTAAAAGGCAAAAATATAGGCGACAACAAATAACACGTAGGACTGTCAAATAAGAAACAGATAGAAAGCTCATGTTTACCTCCACATATACATAGGCAAATAAGCAACACGTCTCAAACAACTAATTTTAAAGAAATTCAGAAAGCCTACGAACATGATATCTAGATGAACATTACAGAATATCCAGCTTTTATTTTAAGGGAAGTGGCAGAATCCTAACTAGCTTGCCTACTGATTTTATAGCCTGTTAAGCTTGGACAATTTCACACATAAACAAAACCTGATTTCATAGTTATTTAACGGCCTAAGGCTTGCCTAGGCGTGTATATGCAGTCATAATCTGGGAACTACTTAAACAAATTAAAGTCATTTCATCCTATAGGCATGCTGATCTAAGTGATGAATATTATAGCAGGTGATTTTATACTGATTCATACCAGAACATAATATCTATGTGTAGGGCTGTTTTAACCTATTTATTTAAGCAACATGTATCAAGGCAAATGCACATGCAGTCCTAAACCAGGATCTCTACTGCACATGGAGAATGTTATTTTATTAAATAATATTAGTAACTTAAGAGCAGGATTTCTAAGTGATAGCGACTTATGCAGAATCACAAGTGAAGTGATGGACTACAACATATAATATGCAGAAGCAGTAAACATGATTGTCCTACGACAGGGTATCTAATGCACAAATTTAACACGGTTTAATGCGAATTATCATAGCAATCCTAGAGCATGATATCTAATGCATCACACAAACTTAGAACATGATTTCTACAGCAACTCAGCATAATATAAAACCTAAAATATGATTTCTACCCAGTTTACCCCACAGAATCATATAGCTACCCTCCCTTTTTTACTAGTTACCCCAATATCTGTTTACAAAGGATTATTACAGACCAGGATTGAGTAAATTACATAAATGAGACGTAACTGAACTATAGGGAGCCTGAAGCAGGCTCAAAATAAACCTGGGAGTACCAGGCCTTCAATGTAGTCTCAAATGCCCAGAAATCTCATAGCCAACAAGTGCCCAAGTCTGTCAGAGTTCCCTAAGGACCTCAAGGATCCCGGGCAGTGCTCACACCAAGACTTTTCTCAAATAGGGACTGGTTATGTGCAGTGTGGAAGAGCCAGCCCTGGTATGCCAGAGTTCAGAGAGATCTCAAGGATCCCTAAGCAGTACACATATCAGAGGGGCAGAACTTAATAATCTAAGAGTAAGTGAGAGTGCTTGACATAGTTTTGAAAGACTTAGTGAAAAATAGTGTGGAGATAACTTTTAGGAGTGAAAAAGATTTTCTAAAATAGACCAGTTTTAAGAAAATGCTAAGAATGAAAACAAGTTTTTAGAAGAATACTAATAATATTTTGAAATCAGTTCTGAAAAGAGCAAATAACATAGAATACTCAGATTCGCAGGTACTTAGCAAGCAGGTTTGCACACAGGGGTGAAAGGGATTGGGAACATATAGGAATCTCATTGAGGGTACATGAACAGATACAGGGAGGCATATAGACAACAATATGCATAGAACACTTAGGAGCTTCATAGCCTTAACAAATTAAACAGGATAATAGGCAATTAAGACATGGAGCAAGGATGTAGTGGACAAAATCAGACACACAAGTAGGGTCAATCACATGCATTAGGTAACCAACATGATCACATAGTTAAAGGATTAAACAGAAATCAACAAACAGGCTGGTCAAGTATCAGATAACCAGGTGAAGTGTAGACATACTAGCTATACATTGAACAGGACAGAATTTAGACATGATAAGCAAAGAAGTAAACAGGAAGACAGGTTGAATTCATAGTCAATGAACTAGTGCAGGAATGAAACACATAGAGTTTGGGTTTCAAAATTTAACTAGAGACATACTAGTCGAAGAAAAGAGTGCAGAACATAATGCAGGTGTAGTTCCAATATCTAGCGTTGGCTTTCAGCCGGCTAGATCAAGAGTTATCACAAGTAACAGAGAAAGAAAGAGAGTTTGAGCATGAGTGTGTGTTCTTTGAACTTGTGTTCGTGTGTTAAGAAGTAAAACAGAGGAGTTTATATAGTAGTTGGAAAGTAGGGCAAATAAGGTAACAGTACCAACTTCAGTTAATCAAGGGAAGATCACAGAATCAATTACACGAAAAATCAGCATAGTCTTCCCTTAATTAAGGGTAATTAACCAACGGTAAGGACAGGAAATATTTAAGGAAAGAAATTCAAATCAGACTTAGGCAAAGAGTGAATGATTAGGAATCTAATTAAGGAAATAATCTTGCAAGGAATCAGTAGATAGTACTGGCAATTAAACAAGGCAAGAAGACTATAAAGTCATAAACGAGAAAATAATCAAGAATCATGCACAGAAATTTTTAACAGAGCAAATCACTCAACAATTCTGGAAAGAACATATCAATTTCCATAAATAAAATAGGCTGAGTAAAACATTAGGAACACAGAGAAATTAGACGAAAAATAATTCAAAAGCCCTAATAGAGATTAATTAGGATAAATATCTCAAAGCAAGGAATTTGACTACGGAAAAATGTGTAAATCAGAATATAGAATGAACCAATACGACTAGCAACTTTGAGAAGCTCAGAATCGAAGCAAAACATCAGACAGTTTGAGTTTTAACATAAATCAACTAGGGCTTATGCAACTTTAGCATACATCAGTCAGGAACACTTAAGAACAAACGACTAAGCGTTCAAAAATCAGAAAAACCTTTTGAGAAGATGACTTAGGGTAAACCCTAGTTTAGGAAAACGGGAAATCAGTTGAAAACCAGAAACTTTCAAGAAAAACATGTAAGAGTTGCTCGATTCATCTCAGATCTATACAGACCTGAGAAGATCAGAGATAATAAATTAGGGTTTTTTAGAAAGCATAACAGAGACGAGAACATAGGCCTAGAAAACCACGGGTTCATAGCAAAATAAGAAAGGTTTCTTACTCATGGTCGAACAAACGGCCTGAAATAGGCAAAGAAATCACAGGCGCAAGCTAGACCGCCTAGGTCCCTTGAGATCTTCTCAAGGATCTAGGAAACTGATGAACCATAGCAAGCAGGAGGCCAGTATAGGCTTGAGATGACGAAGAAACATCATCGAATGGTGGTGTGAGCCGGCGACGACGCCTGAGGATTAGGGTTCAGATAGAGAGCATTTGAGAGAGAAGGGAACGGAGGGCGGCGGAGTATGGTGGGAAATGAATTAGGTTAGAGGGGGGTCGTTTTGAATTAAAATAGTAAGAACAAATACGGCCAGTTGATCTTAGAGATCAACGGCCAGGATTAGGGGGGCCTGGGTTGGGTTTAATTGAATTTGGACCTGGGGTGAATTGGGTTAGGGACTTGGGCTGGTATTTAGGTCCGAAAATTAGAGAAATTAAAAGGCTATTTGTTAAATACCCAAATAATTGAATAAAAATTATTTTATAAAATAATTAACAATGAGAAAAAATAATTTTCATGCATAGAAGTGCTTCAAAATAATTATTCAATATTTTAAAAATATAAGAGATCAATTTTTGGTAAAATCATGCAGTGATATGTACGTGGGCTATAATTGTAAAATCAATGCAATTATAACCAAAAGGTGTAAATCTGGCCATTTGTGAAATAAATGGAACTTAATATGGCTACAAATAGCAAAATTAAATCAATAAAATGTTATAGAGCCATTTGTGATGCAATTTTATAATCATTTATATAAATAAAATACTAGAATAAATTAATTTAAAAATATGGAAACTATGAAAAATGTCCATTGATGCTAATGCATAGTTTGGAAGGTATATATGCATTTTAAAATACTATAGGGAAAAATTGGGTATCAACAGCGGAGTTTGCAGGATCATTTCAACCTGCGTATCCTTATTAATGTTAGCTCCTAGGACCTCCAATTCATTAAGAAGACTCACCATCTTCAGAACATGGTCCCTAACCGATGAACCTTCAACCATTTTGGTATTTAGAAGAGCTTTCATGGCAGTCTGCTTAGTCGCAGGATTCTGATCTCCAAACATTTCATTGAGATTTTCTAGAATGTCATAAGCAGACTCTATCGACTAATGCTGATGTTGCAGAACATTTGACATGGATGCCAAAATGTAACAATGCGCCATCTCATCAGCCTTTACCCATTTCTGTTAAGCCTTTTGTTCATCATCTGTAGCATCATCTCCAGGTTTTTCTGGACACACCTCATCGAGCACAAATTTGTACTCTTCAGCAATTAGGACAATGTCCAAGTTTCGTTTCCAATCAGCATAATTCGGACCCTCAAGTTTATTTTGAGAAAGAATACCAGTAAGAGGATTAAAAGCAGTCATTGTTAATCTGGGAGACGATTAGTTAAATAGATCAAAATCAGTCATGTATTATTTGAATATTAAAATTCAAAAGACACTACATATATATATAATCTATGCACCTTGAACAACAAATTTCGATGGGAAAAGAGCTATTCATGCATATATATATATAGGGTGTTCTGAGAGATGATTTTGGGGGGTAGGGGGTTATTAGGACATTTATATATCAAACATCCTAGTTAGTCCGGACCGTTGGATTGATGAGATCCAACGGTCATGGTTCAAAGGCCATTAAACGACATCGTTTTGATATAACAAAGGCTGGACCGAGTATTGGGGTTTGGACTGGATCGAGACCGGGGTTTGGGGGGGTTGGGCTTGGGCTCCGTCTCAGGTTTTGTGTTTGGGGCTGGGTTGGGGCAATTTGGCCCAAAACTGGGTCTTTTAACAAAGACCCCATTTTCCTTAATTTTCTTTCCTTTGCTTTTATTCATTCTTTTTTTTGATTATTTGTAGAAAATACAAATTAATTAAAAGACCTTATTTAACTCTTAAAATTAACTAATTAAAATTTCAAATATTAACTAAAATCCTAATTTAAAAGAAAACTAAGGAAAAATCAAAATTAAAAGTAAAAATATAAAAAGGGACTATTTTGGTTATTTTCTTCCATTTTCTTGTAATGTTAATTAACTAGTAACTCTAAAATATAAAAATGGGATCCTAAATGCCAATGTGCTATTTTTTGTATTTTTATGAATTATATCAATTTAAATGTACACAAAAAATGCAAACAAACACAAAATCATGCAATTAAATTCTAAAAATCAAATAATTAAAAAGAAAAATCCCTAATTTTATGAATTCTATTGGAGTAATTTAAACGTGGCAAAAATCACGTGCCACAGTACCAAGTGTTAATTTTTGTATTTTTGCCTACTATTTTTGGATTGGTGTGCTTGTTGTTGCCCTTCCTTTTACCTTTCCAAGCCAAGGGTCTACCGGAAATAGTCTCTCTACCTTCTTGGAAGGTAGGAGTAAGGTTTGCGTACATACCACCCTCCCCGAACCCCACTTGTGATATTACAATGGTTTGTTGTTATTATTGTATTACGACACAAGTTTGAAGTTACTTTTACCATTACTTTATTTAGTTACTCCCTCTGTCTCAATCATATGTCACTCTTTCCGTTTTTAATATGTCCCAAAAATATTATTTTCTATACTTTAGAAGCAATTTACTTCTCATTTTTATCCTTAAATGAGAACATTTATAACCACATAAATTTCTAAGGCTTGTTTTAGATCATAAGTTTGTGATGAATTTCTCAGACCCACTTAGGCGATTACACTGAGTTTTGTTTATTATTGTTGTTGTTGTTATTGTATTTTAGACTACAATTTCAAAAGTCTTTCTTTCTTAAACTTTTTGCTATTGTCAAACACTATCCATAAATAGGGACGAGAGAGTATAACTTAAACTTTTAATAACTCGTCTTTCTTCTTTCTAAGTCTAAAGAGCGGGGCCGCAAAAGTCACTGCTTCCTAGCCAAGACATAGCAAAGTGAAAATGAGCCTAGCCAATTTTTGAGTTAGCAGAGTCTTGAGGGACGCTTCAAGTCCTTGCAAGGCATATAACTTTAGTTGTACCTCTTGCCAATAGACAGTTATACATATACATCCATAATGGAAATTTCTTTGAAGAATGTGTTATATTGCATATGCATTACACAATAAAAGCATGTTGCACTTATGATTATATATCGCAGCGAAAGCAATTTGCAGTATCATGTTCACGTGTGAATATAACAATTAGTACATACGGAGATTATTCGAGTTACCTCTTGAAACGTGAACAAAGCAAATCAATATCCGTCTCCAGTTCCGGAGTTGCAAGACCTCAGCAAAATTTCACAGTCTTCTACCGTGTTACCCAAATAATATCCGGGAAGAGAGAATTTTGGGTGGGCGAAATTCAAGGAAGAAAAACGTGTATTTTTCCAGTGCAAAAGAGGCCACCATATCCATGTATATATAGCTACATTTTTTAGGTTAAAACCTTTTTTCCAAAACCTGTTAGGTTTTCTTCTTCCACTAAGAAAATGTTTCCTTTTATTCCTAATATTTAGGCATAGTAGGGACACAGAATTTAATTAACAAGGCTTCCTATTATGGAATTAATTTCCAATTTGAAATTAATTTCTTCCATAATAAATTATGAATTATTCCACTTAAAATTCGCAATTGCACTCATTAGTTCAATTTCGAAATTCTTCCATAAAACCTTATTTAACTCCCCATGTTAAGATTCAGTACTAACCAATCAAATTAAATTACTGACAATTTAATTTATTGATTACTTCCTTTATACTTTCGCTTAACTTATTTCATGTGTTGGATACAAAATCCACCGGGCCGGGTTTACACCATGAAATCCTATAAGCTTTCATAAGGAGTATCATCAATCTCAAAAACCGAGACATGATTCTTCAACTAATTATTACTTCGCCAATGTATATCATTATTGTTCAATTTACGAGGTTTATTGACCCACGAAAGAAATCTCTCCTTTTAATAAATCAAAATAATAAATGATATACACAATAATAATAAATTATATCAAGATTAAGAGTATAAGTACATTGAATGGACTAGAGAAATTATTTTAAATTATAAAATACCTATCTCTACTTGATCCGTTCAATACATACAAAATGTACTAGCAACAAAAATTGGAATTAAACCATTTCCATAATCAAGATAAATTATATTTAATCTTGTGCTACAACCATTCCGATTTGTTTGTCCAATTCCATCATTTGATTGTGAACATAAACTTTTATGACTTATAAGAACCGATGATTTAATCATCCGTGTATAAGCTAAACTCTATACACTAAATCATCTAGTATATAAGCAAACAGACACACAATAAATACCACGATCTATTTAAAATAAAACTTTATTGAATTGAACAAATAAATAAATAATTGTTCCATAAAATACTATAACAATACACATGGCTTATAGTATATCCTAACAATCTCCCACTTAGACTCATAAACCATGCGGGTCTATAATTCTGACACCCATTCCGTCTACATGCCTATCAAAAAGTCTTCTGTGGCAAGCTCTTAGTAACGGGTCGCCAAGTTGTTCTCCGACCGCAATCTTGGTGACTACTACATCTCCTCTTTTGCACTATCTCACAAATTAAATGATATTTTACTGCTCAGTGTGCTTAGCTCTTTTATGGCTTCGTGGCTCTTTTGAATTTGCAACCGCACCACTATTATCACAATAAAGTGTTATTGGTGCTTGAATCGAGGGAACCACATTCAAACTCTCTTAGGAAGTTCCGAGCCAAACTGCCTCTTTGGCTGCCTCAGAGGCAGCCACATATTCGGCTTCCATGGTGGAATCAGCAACACAAGTTTGCTTGATGCTCCTCCAACTTATGGCTCCACCTCCCAGAGTAAACACATTTCCTGAAGTAGACTTTCTAGAATCTCTATCTGATTTGGAAATCCCAAATTAGTGTACCAATAGGCACAAGTTCATCTGAATGGTAGACTAGCATGTAATCCCTAGTCCTTTTCAGGTACTTGATTATATGCTTAACTGCTGTCCAATGCTCTCTCCCAGGATTAGACTGAAATCTGCTAACAACACCAACATCAAGTAGATATCACGTCTAGTACATAAACATAGCATACATCAGACTCTCCACAGCAGATGCATAGGGGACCGCCTTCATCTTTTCTATCTCTTCATCAGTCTTAGTAGACTGATCTTTAGATAGAGAAATTCCATGCGTGAAAGGGAGAAATCCTTTCCTGGAACATGCATGCTAAACCTGAGCGTATTGTATCAATATAAAGAGCCTGGGATAGCCTAATATCCTTTTCTTGCGATCTCGCAAGATCAATGATCCCAAGGATATGACCGCTTCTCCCAAATCTTTCATATCGAAGTGCATGGACAACCACTGTTTACTGAATCCAACATGCCCACATTATTTCCTATGAGCAATATGTCATCTACATACAAGATTAAAAATGCCACTTTGTCCCCATCCATTTTTGTATACACAAGAACTCAGTTAAGACACACTGATCGAACCAAAGTTTTAATCTCCTTGTCAAAACAATTGTTCCATGCCCTATATGCCTGGTTTTAATCCATAAATAGACCTTTTAAGCATACACAACATGTGTTCCTTGCCACTTTTCCACGAAAACCGTCTGGTTGCATCATATAGATGAACTCATCAAGACTTCCATTAAGGAAAGCTGTCTTGACATCCATTTGCCAAATCTCTTATAATCATAATGAGCAGTAATGGATAAGAGAATACTTATAGACTTAAGCATGGCTACCGGCGAGAAAGTTTCCTCATAATCGATCCCTTCTTTCTGAGTAAACCCTTTCGCTACAAGCCTCGCTTTAAAAGTTTGCACTTTTCCGCCTACACCTCTCTTTTTCTTATAGATCCACTTGCATCCAATGGGTTAACCCCATCAGCTGGTTCTACAAGATCCCAGACTTGATTAGAGTGCATAGACTCCATCTCTGATTTCATAGCAGCAACCAACTTATCGGCATCTTTATCATGTAGTGCTTGGTCGTAATTGACAGGTTCGGAAGTAGGCTCCTCAGGGATCCTATCATATGATTCTACCAAGAGCGTACAACGAACTGGCTGTCTATTTCTCTCCCACTACGACTACGCACTACTCAGCTGTAACTACACTATTTTGATTATGTGGTTGAACCACATCATCATCAGGAACCTGAGTCTCCATGCTATCCACAGGGATATCAACGACTTCTTTCCTGTTGTGCAGTCGCTCGACATAACTCCACTACTTTGTGGTAGTATGACTTCGGGCACTTTGTTCTTGCGGACATCAAGTCTATTGAGATGTCTCCCACTACTAAAATGCAATGGTATGGCAAAATCAACTTCCGGGTTTGCATCTGGTCGTTTTGTTTTTCAGATGACTGAGTTTCCATTC